CATCAGACATTTTGATTAAGCAAAGACTCTGATATACGAATATTGAATAGTATATGTTACTGTACGCACTTCCCCAGTACTAAAAGAAAAGAGAGCAAATAGTCGGAGAAAAATTTTCTACTGTAACATGTCCTGGGATTTCTAAAAGTTTTCAAGTCGAATGACTCAAATGGAAAATAAAACTTGCAAGCAGATTCTATTTACTTTTCTTGAAACTTATTCAGGTGAAGATTTAGTCCAACAAAAGCTGTTATTTATTTTTTTGCAACTTGAGAAACGAGGACTGTCTTATCCTATGTTATACGCAGTTTCATGTGTCTATCTTCTTTTGTCAAAAGTGCACGATATATATATGATTCAGGCCCAAGTAGCTGCAAGGCTGTGCTTCAGTGAACCCATATGATTCCTCGGTATATACTTAATTGAGTATGAGAACTGTGAAAATTCTTAACAGTAGCTCGAGAGTCTAATTGACGTTTCTACGAAAACCGACAAGAAAAGTGTTGTAAACTATCAGGAGTGATCATGACCATAGTGAAGTAGAGCCTTTACTAATTCGGTAAGCTTCCGAATAAAAATCTCGACGAAACGAAATCTCTGAAAATGTTCGATAGGATTTTCTTGGAATTTGAACGTATCAAATTTCAACAGTGAAAAATACTGTATGAATTCAAAAGAGAACTAAAACTGATTAGCTATGATAAAAATTGACTAGACATATAATCGTGATAAATTGAACAAAAGCATTAGATTTAAATAGTTTTAACAGGAGAATTAATGTTTCCCTATTTCTATTTTGATTTTCATTTTTTGCACAAAATCTCATACAAATAATCAACGACTGATTATCATTTTCTCCCGTACTACCATATAATTTGCTTTTGTAATGAATCGATATAACTATGTATGTTGCAAATGTGAAGTATCACGAATATGGAACATATTAAATAATACTTTAGCAATCACTTGCATAAGTCTTTTTTAAAGTTTGTAACAGTGAAAAATTTTAGAATCATCTCTAAGCTTACCGTTTTCCGGATAAATACGCTGAAATCAATTTTATCATATGTAATCGAAATAGAGTCCGGCGCAGTATTGATCGTCACATCTATAGACATTAAGAAATTTTCATAGTGTCTTGTCTATCTGATTTTGAAATACGTACCAGAACCACAGGATGCTGCAATCGAGGAAAATTGATTTGCATTGAACGTACAGATCGGAACGCCGTCGTCATTCAGAAAGACGAAATTGAACTATTCGAAACGATAAGTAGACAAAAGAGCGTAATGGCTAGAGACGAAGTCGTGGAGCTTACATCCAAAACAATGTATGGATATCCGCTCACCACCATACTAGCCATAACGTATTTGTTTCGAACTATCGATTGTAGACCAGAATCTTGACACCAAAATTCTTGTGGTTGTTCGTTCGCATTCGATGGGAAACTAATCAATGGCAAAAAATAAAATATTTACTCAAAGAACGGAGTCGTATTGGTGGAACAAGAATCCCGTCGCTTCTGAGGCATCGCACGATGTGTGATTAGCTCCCGCTGAGACCAATCGTTCTCATTCACAGAACACTCATAGTTTAACCCTAAAACTTAACCATTTACAAAAGAGGCTCGATCTCAGTTCGTCTAATTGGTGATTACGCCAGTATGGAACGCATCTATCTCATACCGAGTTACGTGCGGATCTCCCCATATTGTGCACGGATACCGTGGTTCACTAGTCAATGAAACTCCTAAATGAATAAACACTAAACAATCAGTTATTGAGAATATCACAAAACACAGTTACCTGCTAGTGAAAAAGCAATGAAACTAACAAACCAAAATGCTGCCATGTTGTTACTGTTCGATATATCGTATTGAATCATACATTTTATTTCTGTTTATATAGTATTCTGAAAGTGGAAGTGAGTGATTTTCGATTTTATTTTTGGATAAAATAATGAGTGAAAATCATGCAAACTATTTTTGTTATGACACAAGAATGCAAAGCAAACAACTAGTTCTATGAGGACATGACGTTAGTAAACAAAGTAATACACTGCATGTTTCTCTTAGGCATTATTTCAATTCATGCACGCATGATTTTTTTCTGATATTATAGTTGTCGAGATTTTATTTATATTGTGTCTTCCCGCCGAGCTTGAAAGTAAAATCGATGTATAATACTTTGCTATGAAGTGGTTGCATACTGATACTCAAATAGAAAAGTAAATTTTGACTTCATTTCCTTTTCAATGTTTTATTCGTATAAAGATTTTCGTTGAATGATACAGTAATCCTCCCTTGTGCATGTACTCTACGTAGTCTATTTTTAATTGTAAAAAATAAATATTAAAGTTCAAGTGTCCACATTTATTCAAGACAACATTGGTTGAACACTGTTTCGTATGCATGTCTATAGCGTTTGAGTGTTTCATTATTCTAAAATATGATCTCGTATTGGTGATTGCTTGAAATTCAATCGCACTCTATTTAATGTTTGTACAATTTCACGTTTGCACAATTAGTTATAATTCATTTGAAAAGAGGATGTGAGTGTTGCCATATGTTTTTAAAGAAAAGAATCCACGCCCAAAATGATTCCTTTTGAATCGTTATATTTACTATCAGTTGAAGTATAGCTTGATTAAAAATCCCTATGACGCATAATTTTAATTTGTTTGATTTAAAATAATATTTATGAATAGACTAACTTTTCAAAACGATATATAATTGCTTTTCTTTCTGCGGTCCATAATTATATATATAAAAAATCCTTTCAACAGAGGAAACTTTTAGAGATGATTTTCAAGAAGTAATGTTCGAAAGGCTGTAAATCAGTCATCATTAAGCATTATGAACGTTATAAAAGATGTCATCCTGAAAAGAATTGTTTAAATAATGAAAATTTTTGAATTGACAATTCTATTGTCATAAACAACTCTACGTGGATATGAACATATTGTGAAGTGTTTCAGTTTGGGAAGTTTTTTCTATGAAAAAAAACGAAACAAAGTATGATTATTTATTCAGTTCGCTGTTTCTTTTCGGAAGACAATAATACTAACCGTGTTGTCTACGGTTCCTGATGCATATTCAATTCGGTCCACATATTTTTTCAGTATTGATAAGCAATTGAGACGTTCACATCAAGTAGATAAAGACAATCAATCATCAAAAGTTTTCACACTAACTTCTAATGTAGTCAAAGTTGAAGACTTGCAATTGGTTGATGATATGTGCAAAAATAGAGCGCGTTGATCGAATTGACAAAAATTTAACATGATTAATCCTTTCCATAAAGATAAAATCAAAGCAAACATAGTCGAAAGATTCTCAGGAAGTGGTGATGATGTTGTCTTATCCTTGACATCAATCAGAAGCTTTCAAAGCATTGTATCATCTTCAGTATTATTGTGCTAATTAAAATGAAGAAAATAAAATATTTAGGCTGTTAATTATTTTTTAAATTCTAAGTAAAATTTTATTAGGCAACGAGTTGTTCATTTCTAATACATAAATTTCAATAATGTACATTTATTTTCGCATATCTTTCCTTTTCTCATTGCCATCTGAGAGAACAATGGAAGATAAACGTTCATGTCAAACCAATAGACTACGATGAACAGATGCTGTCCTTTTTCTTTCTGCCAAGTATTGTCTTTCGTTCATGGACAAGTCATTCAGGCAAGCAGGCAGCTCTGGTCTGAGCGGAGATCGATTGAACATGCAAATATTGTTCGTGAATTATTTACTTCAGTCATGTCGATAAGAACGCACTGAGCAATATCACTATTAACTGTCAAGTTTTCAAAAGAATGCATTTTACTCTTAAAGAACTTCGTCTCATTAGAAATAAGATCGACTGTTGTTGTTATATGTTCAAATACGAACATTGGAAACCAATGCATATTTGATGAGAAGCTTTTCATTTTAGAAACGTTTAGTCTTTTGAATGTAAGTTATGTTAGAGCTTTATTCTCTATCGAATGGTACCACTTTCGACGTGAGTTATCTGACAAAAAATATTTCCCTTGGATCTACCTGTAGGTATGGGTAATACTCTGTGTTGATAATAAGCGTTGGTAAGTCAATGGTGAGTAATCAAGATTTAATACATTGGTATTTATTGTTATTTTGATTTAAAAGAAATTCCTTTGGTAGAAAATTTTTTACAACCGGAAACTAGTATTGACTATATGCCCATCTATAGAATACAACTTTATTATCTGTAGACTAAAAAATTCAAAAATACGTATTTTAATAAATGAAAAAATGGTTTTCGTTTTAATGACTACGAGTATTTATATATGAATAAAGATCAAAATTAACAAAAAATAAGCAAACGAAAAATAGAAATGAACGTCATGAACATGTGATATAGAAAAAAAAAAGCATGAATATAATTTTTCACATATCGAAAAGTTTTTCTATTTCATCTTTTATAGCGTCAAAAATTGCTGATTTGTCTGATTGTTCTTCTGAAACATTAGAAACTGATGATCGGTCTGATTTTTCTTTTGAAACATCAGAAACTGATGATTGGTCTGATTGCTCTTCTGAAACATCAAAAATTGATGATCGGTCTGATTGTTCTTCTGACACATCAGAAACTGATGATTCATCTGATCCATCGAATGGAAACCAAAAATTCAGCTTGCCTATTAAATTCAATAAATTTGAATATTGCTTATTAGTACGTTTCGTATCTTTCCATAATTGCAATGATTTTAATACAATTTCGTTCTCATCGTGTGATTTATTAATTGAACTAATACGTCGGTCGATATCACGATTACTTATGGCCATTATAATGTTTATTGCACATATTAAATCAAAAGTTCGTTCATAAAAATAATATGAGTGATCCTTGCCAGCTAATACTCTTAAATAAAGTTTATAAATTGGCTCAGTAGCATATATACGTGGAGCAATTGCGCGCATTCTGCCTCCCTGGTTATCCGTATTAAATGCAAAGGCAAAACCGAAATTAATTAATTTTATATGATTACTATCAGGATCTAACATTATATTTCGTGGACGTACATCGCGATGAATAATACGACAATCGTATAAATAATGAATTATATCAATAAGTTGTTTCGATTGCACCAATGATAATGATTCAGTTCGTTGCAATTGTTTTTCATAGAATAAATATTTATCTAAATACAAACAATAAAAAATTTAGAAATAGTATAAAATATTCTTTCTATTAATTATTTCATCTAAACTACGAATGAATCGTATAGAAAGCTGTTTAATCACAAATTTAGATATTAAAGTAAGTTAACGTCTTGAAAATTATTCTCAGACAAGAAACTATATCAATATTGTCATTTGATACTTTTGATAGCTCTTTTCTTATCAAGTTTATTGGACTATACATACAAGATTGTATAAACTGTATCAATTTAACAAAGAACCGAACTGATCCCATCCCTGATTCAGACTGAAAGCAAGTTTGTTCTAGTAAGCATCATTTTCAAAAACTTCGCTTTGCGTTTATCTATCTTGTTTATTAAACAATATTTTTAAATCTTTAATTTTTTCTCTCATGTTGAACAATATTATTTGATGGAACTGATCGATGTAACGTTGACCTTTTACAAAAAAAACATAATTTAATCAGTGAAAGAACACAGATTTTTGTAACAATTTATCTTGACAAAAATAAATCACATGAAACGAGAAAGAGACAACGGTAAAAATAAACTTCAAGTTCTTGTCTACATCACTCCTGAAGAACACTTGATGAAAACAAAAGAACTATGATCGTTCGGAGAATCTTTTTGTTTTTGAATAAACATTATTCATTGAAGTTGCAATAGAAAAAAAGACAAGCATTTAGCAAAACAAGATTCAATTAAATTTCTATTAATATATCATTCATAAAATTCATTTCCACAATGGAAAATATTTAAGTAGTATAATTTTGAATCTGATACGCCTTGTTTTATATACTTCAGAAAGATCTAAAAGGCAAAACTAACTCTTATATTCAATCGATTGTATTCTCTTCTTACGCTTTTAATATTTCATCAAGAGAAAAAAAACGTATTCGTTTCATTCGAAGTCGGCTTATGCAAGCAAATTACATTGAAGAATTAGAAATTCAACGTTATTTTTCACGATAGACTTTCAATCTGTTGAAAAATGAAGCAAAAGACAGATGCCTTACCTGAAGACAGTGGATATAGAATATCTTGGAAAAATAAATGAAATTTATTTAAATCATTAAATCGTTTTAATTTTTTTGCCATTTTAACTTCGTTAAGAAAACATTTGGAATATTTAGTTTCTTTTAATATTTTCATTACATAATGTGGTAAATCGTCAACTGAATGGTTATCTTCATTTTTTTCTAATAAATAAACCATTGACGATGTGCCAAATCCTATTTTTTTTGTAATCATATATCGATCACCAAGTAAATCATCATTAGGATCTATTTTTAATCCTTTATATTGATAAAAGTCAGTATTCATTGTTAAAAAATTTATAAATGTTTTCCATGTATCTTTATTAACACCTAATTTTCTTCTATTTTCAGTTGTTGTTGACGCATCAATAGACGATAATGTTTCGGACGAATAAGTAAACATTTCTAATTCTTGACTCTGAAAAAATCCACACCGTTCCGAATCAGATTTCCTTTTCAGATAAAAAAATTTGATGTGTGTATAATTACTAAGAAAACCATATATCTTTTCACGACGTTGTCCTGCCAATATCATCGTCAAATATTGTAATATTCCTTCAATCATTGAATCTTCTGATAAAGAAACATGTGGAGGTATTAAATTACCAAGACAAACAACAAAATCTTGTAAACATGGCTCTTCGTGATCAATATCGATATTTATATTTTTATAGGTAAATGTACAATTAGGATTAAATTTATTTTCTAAATAATATAAAGCAGATGTATTTAAATATTTCAATGTTGTAGAATTATTCGACGTATTTAATAAATTAGCAAGTAACTGATCAAATCCATTTTGCATTGCTTCTTTGTTGAATATAGGATATGTTGAAAATTGATTTGAATAATTTTCAATACAATTTAATATATTATCATTCAAGTAGTTATTGTCCTCTAATACTTCATTAATATTGAATGATTGCAAATCATCGGGTACATTGATGTTGTAAAAGTAATCATGAGATGTAAATACATTACGACGTTTTTTATTTGATGATGAATCGGATTTAATTTCTTGCTTCCGTGATTTGCTTTGGTAAGATTCATGTATTTGTTGCCGTTCTGCTTTATCGATTTGTTTCATCAATTCTTTTGAACGCTTCATTGTTTCAATTTTACGTTGCATTGTTTTAGTTATACATTTCATTATTTCAAGCTCACGATCCTTTGTTTCACCTCGACGTTTGAGTTTTTTTATTTCGTATTGATGTATTGTTTCTTGAATTTGTCGCATATCCTGCGCTTCATGTTTCATTTTTTCTATTTCATCTCGATGTGTTGTTTCCTCGATCAGCTCAATGTCTTCAGTTTCACGTTTCATTTTTTTGATTTCACCCCGAAGTTGTGCGACAAGTATTTTTGCCTTTTCTTCCTCGTCAAGTTGTTTTTCTACCCATTTTTGTAGTGTTTCTTCTTCATCATCATTTGTAGCCATAGTTGTGTAGTTTTTAAAACTTTTTATCTACAAAAAAAAGCAGAACATATATTTTATGAACTGAAATCAAGACGAAGAAACAGTCCAATGATCGTAATCAGGCAAGATCGAATGACGACGTGACAGTAATCAGACTCCTGCGCAAGGTAAGCCTTTTCATACCTTATACTCTATTTTACAGGGTAGGATAATATATTAGTAAAAAAAACCAATGAGTGAGGATGACGATATTACAGTATTAAGTTACTGAAGTGTAAATTTTATTGCGATTAATATTGACCAGCTGGAGGAGTAACGTTCCTGCCACCCTTGGTATGTCTGTTTTACACAGAACACCAGTTTATATATACGTGAGAGGAAAATTAAGAGAAGAAAGGAAATGTTGAACAAAGGCCAGAGTGAGCACGCAACTACTATCGGTCAAGAGGTCAGAGCATCTAGCTGCACAGTGGCCAACTGTTCTAACATCAATTGACAAATAGGAGATGTACAGTTGGGTTATCCTACGGGACTCTGTGATTTGTTTATCTTTATTAGATAAAATATTATCATTTCACAAGTATTTATTCCTTTTTCTGAAAGAAAGGGTTATACGCAGCTTAAATATCTATAAAAAATTTTGGGACCCTGAAATAGTTGTAATTCCCTAGACTGAAAGGATAGGGTCTAGAAACCGTAATTTTCTTTGTTTGTATCGGTGACATCTGTGTTTGGATCGATGACGTCTTCGTTTGAGTATTTTGATCTAGTCTCCCAGATGAATTTGGCCTTTTAATGGATTTTGTAGCCACATTCTTGGTTCTATTTTTCCCTGTTTTTCTAACTAATTTTCAAAGATATAACGTAATCTTTTCCTGTCTTTCAAGTTTTCCCTAGACTGAATGATTATATGATCTAGAAACCGTAATTCACCTGTATTTGTTTGTCTGTAGCAAGGTATTGGTACGAATGACCATTTATATGGCTGAAATGATCATATCTATGGCTCAAACGACCATTTTTGTGGCACCAATGACCATTTCCATATTGCATATCATTGACGGATCCACTGAGGCACCACGCCGAATAGTCACTTCTAATGATGAAGCAAGCGAAGGGGGCAGCCGGAGTTCCTTCAAGGAACTTTGATGCCTTCATCGCTAAATTTTCAAATGGTGTTATCCAGTTGCTAAGTGAAACTCAACCTTCTTCCCACAGCAGTGTCACATATCCAACAAATCGGGCATGCCAGAGATGCCACGAGAGATGCGGGATACACCAGACCCGGCATCTCTCGCACTTCTCCACAGAGAGACGCCGCATCTCTGGCATCTCCAGCATCTCCCAACGAGAAAACTTTTTTTGATTTCTAGCCTAGACCCCACCTGGAGATGCGTCTTCATAGATAGATGCCGTGTCTCACGCAGAGACGCCGAATCTCTCGCACTTCTCCACAGAGAGATGCCGCATCTCTGGCATCTCCATCTCCAGCATCTCCCGATTACAAAATGAGCTGCTTTACAGCCTACGACACAAGCGGGAGATGAGCCTCATTAGGGAGAAGAGAAAGGGGAAGAGACGGGTAGGGAGGGGAATAGAGAGAAAGAGAGGGGAAGAGCAAGGGGAAGAGAGGGGAAGAGAGGGGAAGAGAGGGGTAGAGAGGGGGGGATGGAGATGAGATGCTGGAGATGGAGATGCCAGAGATGCGGCATCTCTCTGTGGAGAAGTGCGAGAGATGCGGCGTCTCTGCGTGAGACGCAGGATGTGCTCAAAGAATTTTAGATACGCATAGTATTTCATTGTGTTAGTTATAGTGTTGTATGTCGGCGTCTACCGTGGCATCTCCAGCATGCCCGATATTTCGGATATGTGACACCTCTCTCTTCCCATGTGAAAAATATTTAAGCCACCTAACGAGAACTGTTAACAGTGTATTCTATTAGTGAGGAGGCTGAGACCTCCCCTCCTCTATCAGAAATAAAATCTTTGTTCAGTCACTGTTTCGCACCTGCATTTCACGCTTATTTTGGCTGCATTTTTCTATTCATTGTTCTTGGAAATTTTTCATTTTCGTCTGATCGGTACCCAACTTTCACTTATTCGCCTTTTGTTTTCCTTGTTTCGGTTGAACTTATCCATTCATCTTTTTTGTAAATTTCAGTGTAACGGTATTTACCGTTACGGCCCACTTTATGTACTTTATCCTCTTCGCTGTATCCTATGTTCGTGCATTGACCTGATGAACTATCATTGTTCTACTGCGTGACCGTTCCCTCTTTGTCTATATCCGCCCAAGCGTGATCGCTCTCGTGTATATAAGGGAATGTAACTAAAGGAAATACAGGACTAGAGATGTGCAAATGACACAATACACCATCATGCCGACGGGCATAGGCGACACTCTCTATGTTCGTCACATTCAGGATCTGTTGTTGAAACAGCCGACGAAGTGGGCTGTTCATATATTTCCATGTGTGAGTTCTGTCAGTCTAGGGCCCAATGAATAGATTTTCGATTCACGTTACTTGTGGTTTTCTCTTCGCTATATTCGTATGTTCATGCATTAACCTTGTGACCCTCTCATTATTCTATTGCGTGACAGTTCCTTCTTTGTTTCTATCCGCTCAAGCGGGATAACTCTCTGGTATATAATGGAATGTAACTGAAGGAAATACACGACTAGACACTTGCAGATGACACAATACGCAGTCTTGCTAACGGGCATATACGGTATTGATATTGTTTTTTTCGAAGCCATTATTTTCTTAAGTTAATTTTGAACATGTTGAATAAAAGAGTACGTTCCATTTTTCGGCTCATATTATACGATTTGCTAGCATGTGTTACATTTAACTAATAAACTTCTGTCATTTGATTATTATACTCTTAAGAAATTGGACCCTAGTTCTAGCCTAGCCTAAGATAATATAGGGCAGGGCTGCAGGACTCTAGTATCAGTCCTAGTTATGAGTAGACAAAGTATCTAAACAGCTGTAAGAAAGCTAAATAAATATTCATTGCTTCTTTATTTTAAGCCAAAAAGGGTGAACAATAGATACAAATGTATGCGAAGAGCCATTATAAAAAAATTTAAAACGAGAACGCAACCTACTCTGTTTTTTGCACTGCTCGCAAGCAGTAAATATAGACCATGATGGATAGATATATTGATGTAAATTTTGACTAGTTTGGCCAAATAAGAACTGAGAAATGAACAAGACCACTTTTGACGGTCAAACGATACAGTACACTAGGTGTTGTACTCTAGTGTTACGTTATATTTTGTGAAACACGATCTAAAAGGAGTGCTACAGTGTATATAGTAGAAATTTGCACCCACTACATAGGCACCACGGATCACAGCATTCGTTTTAGTTTAATAAATACTAATTGGGTAGTCATTTGTTAATTAATAAAAACATCTGTAACAGTCCCCGTGATGGTCTGGGATGCAGATGCAGACCCATGACAAACAGTAATATACAGGCTCCCTGGGATTATCGAACATCACATATAAGTAACATCTCATTGGAACATACATGCATATGAAGTATTTGATTGTTAAAGCTTTAGCCTGAAAAGTAAATCATAATGTACAAATAAACCCGGATGTCCATAAAAAGACCAGCTTTTAGACGAATACCAACGATTTACTTAAATCGTGTTCCGCATTCTAAACTCGCAGGGATTGCATTAACAAATTTTTAAAGACAAAGGATTTATTTAGTTTTATCCTTTACAATAAATGATAGTAAATATGAAAGGCTACCACTAAATTAGACATTGAAATTACCTATGTATACTTTCGTTAAATGTTGGACATACTCTTTTCTTCTTTTGAGTGTAGATTCATGTCTTTTCTGTACAAAGAACCACCTGCATCAGCACCCATACCCACACCCGCACCATTGGATTTTTACGTAAGATGTTTTTTTCGACTACTGTGAGTGAAATCACTGAGAAATTTTTTCATTACTTTGCTGAGTGCAATGACAGTTCGATGCTTACTTTTAATCGCTTGTTTATTTACTTTTCTCTCTATGAGAATAGTCGAGCTGGAGTAACAACAATAAAAACTTGCTGTTGACTTTAAAATTCCACATGGTGTCTGTTATATTATTTATCAAATCGCATGCAGCTTGAGGGTGTCTGAGAATTTTTCTATTCTATATCTTTTCGTTTTGATTTACCCAGGTAAAAAAATCAGACATAAGATCTTGTATACCACATATAATCGTATAAAAAATCGCCGTGTCAGACATCTTACATCAATTTGTACTGTATAATTCTGGTAGGATCTTGCCGTCCCTCTCCCCCCATAGGATTTTCTTGAGGGTGTGGGTGAAAGATCACTCAAAATAAATGTACAAACCAAAAGCGATAGCACAAAGCCATACCCAAGAGTCAAAAACACCTACAACCACCCACACCAGCAGTGAACTATTGAATCTTTCAATGGGGAAATTGTTTCAGTTTATGCAGAAATGGTTCACCGTAGTAGAAATCTCCCTCTGGCCTAAAAGCATGCTTCTTCTAAGAGAAACAGAACAAAATAATATAAACAAACCCCGACCCCTCATTTTCAATCATGTGAATGATTTATCCCTCAACATTTTACATTTGAAAAATCTTTTCTCACTAGAAACTCTTTTTAATGTGAAAGTGTAAGGTGATCGATCCTGCTTTATCTCGTATAGACTCCTCTTGATTAAGGTAGATATGGCTGATTGACTGCTACTTCCGAGTTTGATATTTTGGCTGTGAAACATCTTCTCGCAAAAGCGTTTCCCACTGTGCTGAAAATTTAATATAAATGATTTCTTATTAGGGGTGTCAATTTATAATTTATTTTATTTAAATTTAACTTCGCGAAAACTTAGTTTAATTACAAATTAAATTCTATCAAGTTAAGTTTAAAATAAATTTAAATTTAATAAATTGTTTGGATGGATATTCATCATTGCTATGAGGAAAATACGTGACTTAAACAGTAGAAAATACTAAATGAGAGGAGAACCAAG